CGCCGTAAAAGGGTTTGGAAAGGTCGGTCATACACCGTGGATAACGCGTTCAGAAAGCTTATCCTCGTTCTAGTTTAACGGAGGTCATACACAGGTTCTTGTTCAAGCCTGCCCAAGGTGCCTTTCGATATTTTTTGTGCCCCCCCACACACACACACCAATCGGCGAGATACGCATTGCTAACGATTCCCAACAAGGGTGAAAAAGCTGTCTGGTGCTTCGCAGCCTTTCCGCATAGTTTAAGTACGTTCAAAATCCATAATTTTTGTTAAAGGTATTGTGATAAACCTCCCAAGAGGAACCTTATAAAGAGGGGCCACCTTCTGACGGTCTACAGTAGTCTTCACTCTCAACCACAATTCAGTTTAACTCCCCGACCTGAGAGATGTCATCCTCGGTAGAAACGTTCCTTTCGTTGTGATGTCCTCTTTTCGGATAAACTAATCTACAGAGCCATTTTGAGTCAGTAATATCAATCCTTACATCAAAGTGTATGACGCCGAACAAGAGTGCATACACACTATTTGACATCCAGTGAAACTTCCCTGTCTTCTCAAGCAATCTAATTTTGGTTGACTGGTTTGAAGGAATCGATAACTTGAACGTCATTGTGGTAGTAAAATCGGATCTTTTCTAGCTGCTTTAATCTAAGTTCTAACGCACGTCACCGCGTGTTTGTTTTCCATCCGAGAACAGTGAGAACAATAAGTACCTGGTTCTAGTCATACATTAGTGCTCCCGGTCCCTCTTCGATCTTACCGTAATGGTTACCGTAACTGTAGCACTGCGGTGGACTCTGGCACTTACCATTAAGGTAGTACCGATGGGGGCATAAATTACACACGTTACAGGTGGTTAACGATCATTGGAGACTTGCGGGACAGTTTTTGTTTAAACAGCTACTTGCATTTGATGCGTGCTGTGGAAGCCGTGATCACCCGAGTGCTTTCAGAACACTGGAGCCGTATTACAGGGAAATCAGGAGCACAATACAAGTGTACAGTTAGTGTCGAAAGATTTCGAACATGCCCGCATAAGTATACTCTAAGTAAACTTCAAATGCCTTCACCTGAACAATTCCATCATAGACTAAAATGGGGCTGTAGACTTCGGAAGGACGATGACCCGTTGCCCAATACATGGGGACATCACTGTGAATGTTCTTATCGCATTGTTCGGCACCAAGCTCCAATGATCCATCTCCAAGGTGTCTTCGACGGAGTCATCTTCAGCACTGCTGACCAAAGTTCGCTAGAACCTCACAGATATCATTAGACATCTCTCAGACTCTTTTTCCAAATAAATGACTACAATATCTTTGTAATGTACTACTCATAAGGTTGCTGAAAATCCGTCGAGAGTCCACGACCGGTTTCGCTCTTCTTGGGGCTCATCAGGTAGGCACAGTCTCCGAGTTTCCGTCAACCTTATGTTCTACTTGAAGCCAAGTTGGAACCCAGCTGAATCTGTACTTAGTTATTGCTCCAGGTGAGTCTCTCACAAAACCGAATTTATTTGCAAATGAGTGTAGTTTCAAGTAGAACATAAGATTCACGGAAACTGCGCCTACCTGATGAGCCCCAAGAAGGCCAAAATCGGTTGTGGGCCGTCGACCAGTTTTCAGCATCTTTGTGAGTAGTTTCCTTTATGAAAATATACTACGATGTCGACGGATTTTCAGCAACCTTATGAGTAGTACATTACAAAGATATTGTAGTCATTTATTTGGAAAAAGCGTCTGAGAGATTTCTAATGATATCTGTGAGGTTCTAGCGAACTTTGGTCAGCAGTGCTGAAGATGACTCCGTCGAAGACACCTTGGAGATGGATCATTGGAGCTTGGTGCCGAACAATGCGATAAGAACATTCACAGTGATGTCCCCATGTATTGGGCAACGGGTCATCGTCCTTCCGAAGTCTACAGCCCCATTTTAGTCTATGATGGAATTGTTCAGGTGAAGGCATTTGAAGTTTACTTAGAGTATACTTATGCGGGCATGTTCGAAATCTTTCGACACTAACTGTACACTTGTATTGTGCTCCTGATTTCCCTGTAATACGGCTCCAGTGTTCTGAAAGCACTCGGGTGATCACGGCTTCCACAGCACGCATCAAATGCAAGTAGCTGTTTAAACAAAAACTGTCCCGCAAGTCTCCAATGATCGTTAACCACCTGTAACGTGTGTAATTTATGCCCCCATCGGTACTACCTTAATGGTAAGTGCCAGAGTCCACCGCAGTGCTACAGTTACGGTAACCATTACGGTAAGATCGAAGAGGGACCGGGAGCACTAATGTATGACTAGAACCAGGTACTTATTGTTCTCACTGTTCTCGGATGGAAAACAAACACGCCGTGACGTGCGTTAGAACTTAGACTAAAGCAGCTAGAAAAGATCCGATTATACTACCACAATGACGTTCAAGTTATCGATTCCTTCAAACCAGTCGGCCAAAATTAGATTGTTTGAGAGGACAGGGAAGTTTCACTGGATGTCAAATAGTGTGTATGCACTCTTGTTCGGCGTCATACACTTTGATGTAAGGATTGATATTACTGACTCAAAATGGCTCTGTAGATTAGTTTATCCGAAAAGAGGACATCACAACGAAAGGAACGTTTCTACCGAGGATGACATCTCTCAGGTCGGGGAGTTAAACTGAATTGTGGTTGAGAGTGAAGACTACTGTAGACCGTCAGAAGGTGGCCCCTCTTTATAAGGTTCCTCTTGGGAGGTTTATCACAATACCTTTAACAAAAATTATGGATTTTGAACGTACTTAAACTATGCGGAAAGGCTGCGAAGCACCAGACAACTTTTTAACACTTGTTGGGAATCGTTAGCAATGCGTATCTCGCCGATTGGTGTGTGTGTGTGTGGGGGGGCACAAAAAATATCGAAAGGCACCTTGGGCAGGCTTGAACAAGAACCTGTGTATGGCCTCCGTTAAACTAGAACGAGGATAAGCTTTCTGAACGCGTTATCCACGGTGTATGACCGACCTTTCCAAACCCTTTTACGGCGTGCAACGCCCAGTGGGCGCACCGCTCGCCACGAAGCCTAGAAGTTGTTTTTAATCGAAATGGGATCTGAGTCGTGAGGCAATCATTTTGAGACAAAACAAATCGGTAGAAAATATGGGATGACTTGGGGTGGACACTGACAAATTTGTGTATTCATATCGGAATAACATGACTCCAGCTTCGGCCTCCCATGTGGTCATGACAAGGGGAAGTCGTAGCGAATAATCACAATGGCCCAGGTATTGTTTTTTTTATGTAGAAAAGGTAACCGAATCTGTAGTTTAAGGATTGTTGCAACACAAGGAATCATTGTCGCTTGACGTTTAGAAGAATTGATGTCTCGTCTGAATTAGGTTTAACCCTACTTTGATGCATTTGTTCGAAAGATAGGCTATTCCATCTACTTCATTCCTTCGTGAGTTGTGGTCGGGTCTCCTGCCTTCCTGTGGTGCCTCTTTAGCGCAGTTTACTTTAGTTCTCGTCATCTGCAGGCGTAAGATTGCATTCCGGGTAGCTTGTTGGTTCTGGTCGCACCGGGTATCTGATTTGCCGTTGAAGCCAACGGTCATTAGTTTGTTATTTCTAACAAAACGGTCTTGACACCTCCCCTAAATTTTGGGGAATATTCCAACTAGCAAACAATGTGTCAGATTAGCGAATATCCACTCATTTGCAAACTAATTTGGTTTTTCGAGAGACCCACCTGGAACCCAGCTGAATCTCTCGTTTGTGATGTCTCCAGGCAAATGAATGTGCTGCACCAGGCCGCCTCATGTTTCAGTCGCTACGATATTCGAGACATCGCGATACATGTAATGTACTACTCATAAGGTTGCTGCACATTCAGTTGCCTGAGAACATCACAAACGAGAGATTCAGCTGGGTTCCAGGTGGGTCTCTCGAAAAACCAAATTAGTTTGCAAATGAGTGGATATTCGCTAATCTGACACATTGTTTGCTAGTTGGAATATTCCCCAAAATTTAGGGGAGGTGTCAAGACCGTTTTGTTAGAAATAACAAACTAATGACCGTTTCAACGTATTTCAGCAACCTTATGAGTAGTGCATTACAAAGATATAAATGTGTCAGATTGTTCTTGGTCAGTCGAACCTCTTTATCCTTCATCGTCTCCTCCATTTCTTTTAGTTCTAGTCTTGTTCTGATTCAAATTTTGGTAGCAATGAAGCACCTGGTATTCCCCTAACTGAACCAGGTAGTTTATAACCGGTTGTTTCGACCTTGCTAAGGTCACTAAAAAAATGTCACTCACGTCTAGTACAACCCCAAGGAATGGTATTTTCTCGTGTGAGCTGTGGATCTTTGCGTCTTCCTAGTTGGAGCCCCCTGTATGTGGTCGGGGATCCTACAAAACATGACATCTCAGCGGCAGCTTGCTACAGCATCTCAGTAAGATTCACCAGAAGGTTAGTTTCGTTCGCTCGGCTTACGCTCGGTTCCTGGAGGGGATTCAATCTTGTTCCGACAGAATGTTCAGACGTACTCGTTTCACAGGTGTAAACATCTCGCTGCTGACCGCTTTTCCCAAAAGATATGGCTTTTTACATCCTCTCCATTTCACCATTCCTTTGAGGCTGCACGGCTACTGGCATATGCTGTTGATCATGTGCTACGCATGCCAAAACACCGTCTACCGAGACGAGTGTTGTTCTCCGTACCTCTTTCAGGATGGCGCAAACCGCGAGGTGGACAGCACATGGCTTGTCAGAAAGGCGTGAAAGAGATCACGAAGAGTTTGGGTGTTGTTGGTGTTGTGCGACTTCCAGGATGGGGTCCCCGTGACCCCGTCTGTGCTTGGCTGAAGACGTTGCAAGAAATGGCGACTAATCGATGTCAGTGGCGTTCGTGCTGTCAGTTTTTTTCCAGATTGTCTGATTGAGCGGTTGGAGGTGTAGGCACCTCAGTATGCTTGACATAGGCCAGCACTAGGTCCCCTCCCTCACCCACTCTTTTTCTTTTCTCTTCTCTCCTCTGTAGGGCTTTTAATAGATGATGATCATGACGAATGTTCCTCTCCGAACAGAGGCCGTTTTAGGACAGACCGCTGTTTCAGCCTGAATTGGGCTTGTACATCTACACATCTGTGTGTAGCACGTTCAGTTGTAGAATATCATAAACGAGAGATTCAGTTGAGTCTCTCGTGAAAACCAACTTGATTTGCAAATGAGTATACTTCCCGAAAACAGTCCAATTAGGGTTCAAGTAGAACATAAGGTTGACGGAAACTTGGGGAATGCATGGTTATGCCATCGATCACGTGGCAGATTTCTTCATCCTGCTTTGGTGCGGTTTTGACAAACTTTTCAAAATCCGAGAAAATGTGCCTCTGTCTGGAAAGAAAACGGAAAGTTTGTAGATCTACCCGCGGTTGACTACCAACATATTGGTGAACTGTAATACGTCTTCATAAGTTGAACGAATCCGATAATGCACAGCGCCATGCTCTAATGTTTTAGCGACGCCCACACGTGTCTGCATCGTCATGTCATAAGAAGAGAGAGGACTTATCGCGACCACGTGATGCAAAGGTGGCAAGTGTGATTTGAGGTGTTGGTGGTTGCCGAATGCACACTCACATGCCCTCGTTTGAACAAACCCTCTTTCGTCGTATCGCAGTCATTCTGTTGAGTCCACACAAAAGGAGGGAAGCACTGGAATGTAGTTTCTGTCAGCTGGTCGACTGGCTACCCTGTTTTCGACGCTAGCCGTGCATCAATCAGTTTCGAGGGAACGGAGGTTTTAGGAGATTCGGGATAACTGCAAAATGAGCTTGTCTTGCTGGTACCAACAACCAGGATACTGGGTCAACTAATGCGTTCGAAGAGGACCTGATCGAACCCCTGTCGAAGTAGAAGCCCTGTCAGAAGCATTAAAAAAGACGAACCGATCGAGAGTCGTTTCAGTAGTTAGGATAGGTGTTTGCAACTCACTGTTCCGGTCAAATAGAACGTATCAAGGTTTCAATTACCGGTGTGATGGTACTTGATATATATATATATA